ATTCCAAAGATATTTTATATCAAATTGTGAAAATCTAAAAGCTTGTGCCTTAAAATCAGGGGGTAAAAAACCCAAGTATATCTACTTTTACTACTGCTATTTGGCATTGTTCTTAAGGTCCTAGCCAAAACAATTAGACAAGAAAGATAAATAATATGACAAGTTGTATATAATGGATTTTTTTAAAATTAAGGATTATGCATACATTCATACAGCCAACAGACACATGAAAAAATGCTCATCGTCACTCGCCATCAGAGAAATGCAAATCAAAACCACAATGAGATACCATCTCACACCAGTTAGAATGGCAATCATTAAAAAGTCAGGAAACAACACGTGCTAGAGAGGATCTGGAGAAATAGGAACACTTTTACACTGTTGGTGGGACTGTAAACTAGTTCGACCATTGTGGAAAACTGTGGCAATTCCTCAAGGATCTAGAACCAAAAATACCATTTGACCCAGCCATCTCATTACTGCATATATACCCGAAGGATTATAAATCATGCTGCTATAAAGACACATGCCCATGTATGTTTATTGCGGCACTATTCACAATAGCAAAGACGTGGAATCAACCCAAATGTCCATCAGTGACAGACTGGATTAAGAAAATGTGGCACATATACATCATGGAATACTATGCAGCCATAAAAACGGATGAGTTTGTGTCCTTTGTAGGGACATGGATGCAGCTGGAAACCATCATTCTCAGCAAACTATCACAAGAACAGAAAAGCAAGCACCGCATGTTCTCACTTGTAAGTAGGAATTGAACAATGAGATCACTTGGACACAGGAAGGGGAACATCACACACCAGGTCCTATTGTGGGGAAGGGGGAGGGGGAGAAGGGAGGGATAGCATTAGGAGATATACCTAGTGTAAATGACAAGTAAATGGGTGCAGCACACCAACATGGCACATGTATACATATGCAACAAACCTGCACATTGTGCACATGTACCCTAGAACTTAAAGTATAATAAAAAAAATTAAGGATTATATGTCATAACTAAATGGGATCTATATGAGTAGTGCAAGAGTGCTTCAATAAGAAAATCAATCAATGTAATACACCTTATTAGAAAGAAAGGAAAAATCTAACAAAATGACCATCTCAATAGAAGCTGAGAAAGCATAAGACAAAATTCAATTCTCTTCCTGATAAAATCACTCAAAAATATGAATAGAAGGGAAATTCCTTATAATAAAATATATTTATAAAAATTCCAAAGGTATTTTATGTCCAGTTGTGAAAATCTAAAAACTTATGCCCCAAAATCAGGGGGAAAAGATCCAAGTATATCCAATTTTGCTGCTGCTATTCAGCATAGCACTTAATGTCCTAGCCAAAACAATTAGACAGGAAAGAGAAATAAAAGGCATTTAGGTAACAAAGGAAGATGTGAAACTGTTTCTATTTTAAAATAACACAATTATATATAAAGAAAAGTTCATACAACTGACAAAACACAACGAGAGCTGACAAATGTTTTCAGCTTAATTTTAGAGTGTAAAATTGGTCCAGATATCTGTTGTGTCTGTTTATATCAGCAATGAGTGACATGAAAATAAAATCAAGGAAATAATTACATTCGCAATAGCATCAAAAGGACCAAAAGCCCTGAGAATCTATAATCAAGAAGATAAAAGATGGAAAACTATCAAATGTTGCTTAGAAAAATAAGGAGTACCTAAATAAATGGCAAACCACGTCATGTTAAAGGATTGAAAGACTTAAAATTGTTAAGATGGCAATGCTTCCAAAAGTAATCTAAAGATTGAACGTAATCACTGTCACAATTCCAATGTCCTTTTTAAAATTTTTATTTGTGCAAAAATGGAAAAGCCAATCCTGAATTTATATGCAACTACAGGGAGAGGACTCAATTTCCAAATTTCCAAACTTCAAAACAAAACTATAGTAGTCAAAACAGCATGGTACTGGCAAAAGGAAAGAAACAAAGACCAATGGAATAAATTGAAATCCAAACGTAAACCTAATCATCTATGCCCAGTTCATTTTCAACAAACGTGCCAAGATCATTCAATCTAAAGGAAGAGTTTAAAAATAAATAAATAAATAAAGGAAGAGTTTCTTCAACAATCAGTGCTGGGACAACTGGGTAACCACATACAAAAGAATGAAGTTGAACCCCTATCTCACTCTTATGCAAAATATAACTGAAAGTGAACGAAAAACTCAAATGTGAACTAAAACTATAAAATTCTTAGAATAAAACATCGGGTTAAATCTTAATGCCTTCAGAATTGGAAGTGGATGCATAGATTTGACACCAAAGCAACTAAAATAAGAGAGATAAACTGGGCTTCACCAAATTTAAAATGTTTGTTCATCGAAGGACAAAATTAAGAATGTGAAATGACAATATATAGGATGGGAGAAAATATTTGTATTTCATACATATTTACTAAGCGTTTAATGCCCAGAATCCATAAACAACTACCTACAGTTGAACAACAAATGACAAGCAACCCAATATAGAAATGAGCAAAGGGCCAGGTGTGGTGACTCACACCTGCAATCCCAGTGCTTTGGGAGGGCTGAGGTGGGTGGACTGCTTGAGTTCAGGAGTTTGAGACCAGCATGTTTGTACAGAAAAATACAAAAATTAGCTGGGTGTTGGGGTTTGTGCCTGTGCTCCTAGCTACTTGGGAAGCTGAGGTAGGAGTATCACTTGAGCCCAAGAATCAGAGGTTGCAGTGAGCCAAGATGACAACACTGTACTCCAACCTGAGGAACACAGAGAGGCCTGATCTCCAAAAAAAAAAAAAAAAAGAGCAAGGGCCTTGAATAACATTTCTCCAAAGATCTTGTAAAAATGGTAAAAAGCTGATTAATATCATTGGTCAAGTCAAAACCACAACCACAATGAAATACCACTTTGAGCTGACACAAAAAAACAGAAAACTACAAATATTAGCTATAATATGGAAAAGAGGAACCCTCAAACATTGATAGTGGGATTTTAAAATGGTGCATTTACTGTAGAAATGTTTAGTTGTTTCTCAAAAAGTTAAACATAAAATCACCATATGACCCAGAAATAACACTCCTAGGACTATACCCTGGAAAACTGAAAATATGTTCACGAAGAAACTTGTGTACAAATGTTAACAGCAACATTATTTATAAGAGCCAAAAGATCATTTATATAACACAAACGATCATCAACAGATGAATGACAAGCAAATTGTTGTATGTGTACATGAAAATGGAATATTATTCAACCACAAAAAAAACAAAGTACTATCACATGCTAAAACTTAGTTGACCCTCCATATCATTATGCTAAGTGAAAGAAGCCAGGAAAAAGGTCACGTATGCCATGGGTCCTTTTAAATGCTATATTCATTATAGGAAAATCCATAAAGATAGTTGATTAATGTTTACTACATGATGGAGTGGGGAATGAGGTGTAACTATTTAATGATAGAGTATGTTTCTGTGGAGTGATAAAAAAGTTTTGAAAGTAGAGAGAGACGGTAGTTGTGATGTAGGGCAGGCGAGTCCCAATGTAGAGCTTAATCTGGGAGGGTTCTTGGCTTTGCCCAGAAAAGAATTCAAAGGTAGCTCAGAGGTAGAAGAAAACAGCTTTGTTGAACAGGCAGTGGTACAGGTCTGTGAGGGCTACTGCAGAGCAGGGCTATGGTATAGGCAGAGAGTAAGAACTCAGAGCAGTTTTGCAGTCATTTTTATACCCACTTTTAATTGCATGCATATTAATGGACAGTTTGTGAAGGGAAGGGGTCTTATCTTTTGGGTCATTGGGTGCCATGGAAAGGGGAGGTAACTCCTGGGTGTTGCCATGGGAATAGTAAATTGACACGGCACACTGGTGGGCGGGACTGATTGAAGGCGTCCTGGCCCTGTTTTAGCTAGCCATCAATCTGGTCCTGTGTCCAAGTCCCACTTCTGGAGTTGATTCCCGCCTCTTACCTCAGTTGCACAATATTGTAATTGAAATCATACCATTAAAGTGTACACTTTAAATTGGGTGATAATGGTACATGAATTTCATCTCAATATTTAAAATGTCATAATATTTTGAATTAATCTATACATTTAATGCAATCTGTTAAAATCCCTATGGGCTTGTTTGCAGAAATTGACAAGTTTATTCTTAAACTTATGTTGAGACTGAATAAACCCAAAAAAGCCCAGATAGTCTTGAAGAAAGCTTTGAGGACCCACACTTTTTGATTTGAAAATTTGATACAAAGTTACAGTAATTAAGACTTCAAAATGAGGTACTACTGTCATAAGGACAGACAGATCAATGGAGTAGAATTGAGAGCCCACAAACAAATCCTCACATTTATATTTAGCTGGTTTATAATGAGGTCGTCAAGACAATTCAATAAATAGTGCAATGAAAACAGGATTCACGCTCACAGGTTACCTAATAAACATCAACCTCCAACTCCTTTGTGCAAATTCATTTTAGGTTACACCAAATTAAACCTTCTCTCTTCCATCCACCAATTCTTTCCCATCACATACCTCTCCACAATCTACTCAGTCCATCTGAAACCTTTTTTCTGTTCCACACTGCAAATATTTTAAGGGCTATTTCAATATGCAGGGCATGCAAGAAGCCCATTTATGATAAGCCATTCTTTTCCATTGTCACATAATCTGTGTGCAATATTGATATCCATCTTCAGTTTATGGTAGGATATTTTATATTTTCTACTTATTTGTAATTGTTTCCATTTGACTGCAGTGTCTATATTATTCTACTCACGTAGATTACTTTTATTTCAAGAAGAGAGTCTATGCATTCTAGCTATTGGACAATTTTATATTTTCCATGATGTTTAGTACAGGCCCATAAATACAATACATAATTAAGGTGCTTGTCAAGCATTGCTGGCCTGATCATTTAAACATCCTTAGTAAATTACAGAAGGATTCGATGAATCACAAAATGGACAAGAAATCAAATTACTGATCTGTTGCTAATATCTTACCTGCTCCATTTTGATCAGGAAGCAATCGATAAAGTCCCGAGGATTGTTAACATCCAGTGTTGCTTGGTGTTCTTTTACTTTCTTCCTAATGTAACTTTTTGTAAGAGCAACATTTTTAAGCAATTTGTTGTGAGTTCCTGGGAAACAATCAATGAGTAGAGGGAAATTATTGCAGACCTAAAAGAGAAAAGAATATTAAATATAAACACGTCATAAGACATATGTGTCTTACACCAAGCCTGATTGAAATTATAGCTATAAATATGAATAAAATGTTATGTACATTTTGATGGGGAAATTTTTATTGTGCATGTATAGCAATTTTCTGTACCTAAAGATTGGAGGGAGAAAATTTTGAACAGGAAATCAAAGATGATAATTATTTTCTTCACTCATACATCATTTTATTGTATAAAAACATTTTAATATCAATTTTCTCATTTTTAAACCAAGTCTTCTCTACCACCTTGAAATATAAGATGGCATGAATTACTATGATTTATATTTAGTTCATGACGCTAGAGGTTAAGGGGGTTTGGGCAACCTGATAGAGAGCACAAAGCTAGAACCCACTGTTTTTATTTCTGTCAAGTAGCTTCAAAAATGGAATCAGTATTTTAGAAGTGCGAGCAGCTTGAAGATACCTTAAAACCCAGCTGTGCACCTGAGCAGTTAAGTGATTTCTCTAAGATCACACAATCATTATTTAGGCAGAGTGTAGGGCATGCCAACTCAGCATAGGGTAAAATTTGAATGTTTGTTTATGGTTCATACACCATGAAACCAACCATTTTTGTCATTCCTAACCTAGCTGCCTCATCAGCCAGGATCTCAACTGAAGCATCAAACACACCTGCCCTATTCAGTATTTCCTGGCACCTTCTATGGTCACAAATATTCTCCCTCCTTGATGGAGATAGTCTTTCCCTAAATTAGAATATTTTTGCCAAGTAATGTGAGGAAGAGGTCAGTAAGCACTGATTGGAGGATAAGCCTACTGAGTAATGGAAACCTTCAGAAAGGGCCCGGATGTCCATGGAGTGATATGGACATGTTTTTGGGCTGTCACCAAAGCACTTTATTGAAACAGTCTTTGGGATTTAGTGGATAAACCACTGGTCAGGAAGTCACTGGGCTTGAAAGCCACCCCTGTATTTGGGCATTCATTTTCTGTGTGTAAAATAAAAGACTTGGTCATCTTTTCCAGATGTTCACTTCATAAATTTCTGAGCAGTACTGTGGTGTTCAAACACGCCCTTCATATAGAACTTTGGACTTACCAGAAAACATAGCATAAATAGTTTCCCAGGAAGATAAAATCTTGGCCTTACCTGGATCCATGGGGAGGTCAGAATCCTGAAGTTTACAGTGAATCTTTTCATCAGGGTGAGAAAATTCTCATCTTTATAATCAAATCGTTTCTGGAAAACAACGGAGCAGATCACATTGCAGGGAGCACAGCCCAGGATGAAAGTGGGATCACAGGGTGAGGCTAAAGATTTAAAAATGTTTTAAAATATTATTAAAAAATAAACATTTAAAAGATCTGCATTTGTTAAGACATAAAGGAAATTTAGAAATTTTAAACAATATCTTACAAATTCCCCATGTGTCCAAAAAAAATCAGCATGCATGAAATAAACATATTACTTTTACCTTAAATATGAGTTGAGCATTCCAGTCTAGCTAAGCAATGTCATTTCACATGTGGTAATTCACATCCACTGCTTTTATTTAAACTCTTTTAACCCAAGGGTATCTTTTATTTTGGAAGGAAAAAGAAGACTTTTTCAAAATCCTAATAATTCAAGTTTTTAGAGCAGAATCATGCCTGTCTGCAAAGCCTCTGGACAATAAAACACACAGATAGGAAGAGAAAATTTGGGGACCTAGAAATGTCTTACATACAGTGAATAGCTGAAAGTATAATGTGCTGAACCAACAGGAATTAAAGTTAGGGAGATTGTGGGTGAATGCATGTGTCTGAGGGAACAAATGTGAAAAGCAGGTACATCCATATGGCATAGAAGAAAAACTAATATAAATGAGCATTAAGTATAACAGATTTGTTTATCTAAATAAGTAAAATGTTAACTTTTTATTTCAAATCTAAATCCCAGTAAAGCTAACCAAAACATAAATTGATAAATGGAATCTTTTTATTTCTTTTTCAATTTGTAAAAAATGAATGTCCTTCCTTTGGAATAATGTTTATCATTTTCAATCATCTTCCAAATTTAATTAATTTGGGCAAAACTACTCTTGTGGATTCTGGGATATTATTCAGTATAGTTATCAAGATAAGTATGTTTTAATAAAGTTTTAAATTTGACCATAAGTTAAGCCAAATCTGTCATTTTACAGGTAAATAAATTATTAAAAAGGCTTTTTTTTTTGGTACAGGAATCTCTAAAATGAAATTGCTGTAACCAAGTGACTAGTGAACATAAATGGAAAGGGTGCCCAGATTCACATCGATAGGTACTAAATAAGAGTGACATAAAAGGAAAGGGTTCTGAATAAAGTTGGAACATTGAACAACAGGAAACCTGCTGAGTTAGCAACTTCTATGCCAGACTCCTTTAAACATTACTGGGCTCTAAAGTTTCAGAAAAACAGTTGTTTTAGCCAAGGGGGTGAAAGGTAATTTAGGAAGCCTTGGTGAGTGTGTGTGTGTGTGTGTGTGAGAGAGAGAGAGAGAGAGAGATTCTCAGGTACAATCTGATATCCAGGTTTTTTTTTTTTTTTTTACTGCATTTGGGAGAGTGAATTTAAAAAGGTAATTTTATATCCCAGCTGATAATCACACTGATTATAACAAGCACTTCATAGGTGAGTAAATTGGCAGTGGGAGAAAAATGATTCGCACAAATTTCAAAGCTAAGATCCAATACAGTGGAAAAAAGATGACAAAACTGAAAACATAGCCAAATTACATTTAAGGAAGATAAGATAAAGAGTTTTTCATAATAGTTAAAATCTAGTTAAATTATTTATAAATTAGTATTTGTGTATTTTGCTGAGTTATACTGTAGATTATATTTACTCAAAATATATAAATTGTTACAGTAAGTAGTGGTTAACAAGAAATAATTAATCCTGACAGTTTTCAAATAGTACCGTGTTTCCTGAGAAATAACAACTGATGAAAACTGTACTGAGATATACCTAAGAAAGTGAAACCATACATAGTGTCATTACTGGCCAGAGCTGTAGGCATGGACCTGGAAGGAATTCCCAGACATGTGAGTCTGACCATATGAAAAAACTCTAATTAAATGAAAGCACATGTCACTTGGTTCATGTTCCATAAGGTGTGATGAGGTCATTTTCACCATGTCCACTTTCCTAGTGTTCTCTGGTGAAATGTTCTGGTGAAGGTAATGCAGATTTATGCTATGGGGGAAACCTTCTTCTTTAACTCTTTTCAAAAAATGAACTCAAGACCCTTATTTATTATTTCTGATTTGAAAACAAGGGAAAAAAACTGAGCAGAAAATAGGATTAAATGACCTTTGATTCCTATACCCTATGAACCAACACATTTATACAGGTAAAGCACAGGTACACAAAATTTCCCTTGTCTGTGCTTCAAACCTCCCTCCACCACCTGAGGGCTGACAACCAGGATGCACAATGAAGATCTGGTCACCCCTGAAATGTTTCCAAGGATGTCATTAGTGAAGACAGCTAACTGTTAAGGTCAGTGATGCAGAGTAGAGTCACCCACCCTTGGTTTTTCTCAACTCCTCCACAAGGCAGCGGGCTTCCTCTTGAACACGGTCCTCAATGCTCCTCTTCCCCATCCCAAAATTCCGCAAGGTTGTGAGAGAGAAACGACGGGTCTCCTTCCATCTCTTTCCATTGCTGGAAATGATTCCTAACAAAAAAGGGGGGCAGAAACTGGGAGAATTCATAGCCAAGGAAGAAGGTGCTGCAACACTGGGCAGCTAGGCAGATAGGCTAAGCTCTGCTGAGAAGCTTTTTAGGGCTCTGTTTTCCATCTTCCTCACCCCAGTTACCAAAGCTGACACAGGTATATGCACACCTACCAAGTCCGTTAGTAATTCTTTCAGATATTGGCAAAATGCCTCTTCCAGAAAACTCCTCTGCATTATCAATCAGGGCTTCCTTCACTGTCTCATATCCATGCAACACCACTACAGGATTCATGCCAAAATACACGGTGAACACAGGACCATAGACTTTTGAAAACTGGGAAAGGAAATGCAAATAGCAGCAAAATAAGTCGCTATTTGCTCCAAATATTACGTATGATTCAGACTGATATTTTCATTGTATTTTTTAATGTTTATATTTGCCACACATAGATTCAATATTTCTGAATTTTGTACATAAATGTGATGGTGATTGTCATAGCTGCCACTTATAGATGACCTATGATATGCTGTGCAATAACCCAGGCAATTGGTACACAAATCACAGTTCATCCTCACTTCAACACATTGAGCACATTCATTTGCCCTGTTTTAAAAATGAAGAAACTGAGGCCAGAGAATTCCAAATTCATTCTCAGAGTCCCACGGGTAATATATAGAAGTTCCAAACTTGAACCTCTGCTAATTTAAACTGATGCTTGAACAATTTATCACTCCCCCATGTCCACCTTGAGGCCAATACCCGGTTAAGGACTTCAGGGTCACCTGTAAAGCTCTTACCATGAGGATTCTGATTCAGCAGTCCTGTGATCAACCCTAGAAATCTGTATTATCAGTGTCACCCTAGGCAATTCTGATGCTCAATCCAGTTTGTAACTGCTGGTATTACCAATACGGAAAGATGAAGTACCACAAAGTTAGAATCAGGACATTCAGCAACTCCTGAAAAAAGAATTTCTTCCATTCTCCAGCAACCTTGACCACAGACAGTGACTTTGTTCAGAATCCAGAAGAATTATGTTAACCACCAATTGGGCCCTGACTGATTACTTCTTTCTTTCATGCATGTATGCTTGTCCTGAACCCACAAATATTTCTGTCATATCAGCCATCAAATGAATCTTCAGAGAAGTTCAATTTTCATGACGATTCTGAATAAAACACATGACTACTGCAGTAGAGGACTTATTGGATGAAATTTCTAATCACACATATTTCCCTTCACCTTCAGTCAAAAATCATAGCAAAACACTCTGAAACAAAGAGGTGAACAGCACTTCAAACTTTTGACATTGTATTAAATGATTCTATCATACAATGACCCCAATGATTCTGTATTCACAAAATGTATCAACTCACTCTACTATTTCTGACAATGACAGACTTAGAAAGACAAAAGAAACATCAAAGAAGTTCAGAGGGATTATTTTGCTTTACAATGATCTATTAAAATAGAGTGCTTCCAGGAATATATTTTGTCTAAAAATAGCAGTCAAATAACTTACCCTTTGCAAGTGACTGGAGGAACATAAAGCATACTTACATTGCTGAAAGATTTGCAGATGTCCTTAACATCTATCTGTAGAATATTTCCAATAATAGGAAGAGGAGTGGGGCCAGGAGGGAGTTTCCTTCTCCCAGAGCTCTGTCTCCAGAGTGAAAAGAGAAGCACAAAGGAGAGACAGAGCACCAGGACCACAAAAGGATCCATTGAAGACTTCTCTTCTTATTAATACAGCTGAGAGCTTGCACTCCAAGGCTTTTATAACACTCCCTGCTAATTCAGTGTGTGTCTGTTTGACATGTAAAGTAAGCAATCACCTAGGTCCAATTTATACTTTTTTTCTGTGTGGACTTTGGCCCATGGATAGAGATAAAATGTTCTTTTGTCCTACTCCTTCTTTGCAGTGCCCATCTAGGAGATTCTGGTTTAATTATATTGGATTGGAGCCCAGGTATTGGTAATTAAAAGTTCCTGGTTGTTCCAATGTGCTGTGATGATGGAGAAATACTGAAGTAAATGATTCTATGTTCCAATATACTCAAAATTCAATACTCTCAGATTAATGACCAGTTGGGAATTTATGACTTTGAGGGAAATCAGTGTATTCTGTATGTCGTGTATAAAAAATGTACATTGTAATGCTATATCAAAAAATAGAAGACTTAACCCTTGATAACAAAAGCCTTTCAAATATTTAGTATGGTTCACTTAAAATACAACTGCCTAAACATGAAATACTGAATATAACTCATACATGTTGAATGACTGCACATATATCAAAGTATTAGCTAATAAATGTATATATATATTGAATTGTATATAAATGATATACATAAATATGTATTTATGTTACTACATAATAATATTTATGTTATTATTACATTATTGTAACAATAGGTGATTGTTTACATGTCAAAGAGACACACTGAATTAGCAGGGAGTGTTAATACGTTCTTACATAACAAAAATACATATTTATATTATTATTAAATATTATATTAGATATATATAAATGTATATTCACCATCAAAAGAGACTGGAATGTAGAGATTGTCATTTTTTATTTTTCAAATGGGGGAAGAAACTCTGGGAGAACAGGACACCTGTCAGTGCCACACAGCTCATCACTGGTAAAACCGGGATTTGAGCAGAGATCTTCTGATGCCCATTGGGGTGCATTACCACTTGCACCAGAGCTGGCTCAAGAACAATTTTAGAAAAACAAAACAACCCCAGACGTTGGTTACTCTGAAGATACACCACCTTGACTCTGTTCAGAAAGCAACAGGCTTCACATTAAATAGAAGTCCATTATTTGTTTATAAGGATAAGAGGACCAGAGATGCTCAAAAGAAGAAATAAAAATTAGAGTTCTGCCCTCTGCATCACCTCACAAGTGAAAGTTGTTCAGCGCTATTAAGGAAAGGGCCAACCTCACATAATTTATGGCAGAGGGCTTGACAATCTATGGCTTCTCCACCTCCCAGTCACCTCCAGACATAGCTGCTTCTATTGTTTTTGGTTTGTTATTGTTACAAATAATAGAATGTAATCGTACACAGCAAGGAAGAGAAATTATATACAGAACAATAGTTGTGGATTCAATAGAAGATGGAACATAGGGAAATCATTGAATGGACCCAGGGCACAGAACGACTGTAATGTGCAGACCTGAATGGGAACTGATAGTCAATGGTCATGAAGATCTGAATTCAACTGGATTTATGAACATTCCTAGATCACTAATGACAAAGTGTATGTACAAAGGCATGATCTGAAAAGATTACCTTTATTCTAAATTGACTAGTACAGTTATTTCCAGCTCTTTCATTAGGAAAATATTAAGACCCAGTTATACAATGTTTTATTGATTATGTTTACAGACATTATGACAAATTTACAGAGAATTTTCACACTCATCACATCTCTTTTTATTCTCTCAATTATCTTTGCCCCCTGTAAAATTATTCCCAGTTTAGAGAGGAGAAAGTTAGACCATGGAGATTCAGTACTTTAGCTAAGGGCACACAGAATGCAAGTGACCAAGCTGGGGCTGGAAACCATAACCCCTGCATCTTGCTGCCTTCTTTTTAAGCAAAACATTCAGTTAAACTGGGGCACCAAGATTTACTAAAATTCAACACTTGTGGATTGATCTAATCAGTGACTTTCAAAATAAACATTAATTTAGTTAATAATTCTAGCACCAGTTGAGTAAAATGTAGGTCAGACGTGTTTGGTTTTATAACCTTTAAAAGGTGAGTGAGTCCAGGTCCTGGTGAACCCTTTATCCAGGGCAAAGGGAAGCAGTAATTTACTGCCTCACTCACATAGGTATAAGTTAGTTTATTTGGATAAAATAAGTTCACTTTCTCTCTTTAGCGTAATAATTTTATCCTTGAGAGACAGTTGTCCTTGCTTTGCTCCTTGTTTCTTCTCTTGAGCTGAGGATCCTACCTTGACCTTTCTCTTTATAGAATAAAAGCAATGTAGATCATTTAAAGACAGATAGGATCTCTGAGATCTACTAATTTAATTTTGCTTTGTTTGTCAGGAATGAGCAATTGGCGACTCAGTGAGTTAGAGCATTATCAATACACCAGTAAAAGATTTTGTATTAGAATCCCAGTTTTCCTGCTTGGTGGTTCAGTGAAATACCCCATCTCATAGAATTCCCACCTGAGTCCAAATGATCAAGAGTGTATTAGCATTAATTAAGCCCTCCACAGTCACAGATTAACACCAACCTCAGCTTGGTTAGAGTTGTGAATTAGAGCGGGGTTTTTTAAATTAATAGAACTTATTTTTATAGCAATTTTAGGCTCCCAGCAACAGTTCCCACAAACCCCTTCCCAGCACCTACAAATAGTCTTTCCCACAATCAACAACCCCAATCAGCAGGGTTCATTAGTTACAGTCAGTGAACCAACAATAAGGCATATCATCAACCAAAGTTCAAAGTTTACATAGGTTTTACTCTTTGTGTTGTACATTCTATAAATTTGACTGATGTATAATGCCATATATCCATCATCGTAGCATCATACAATATGGATTTGCTGTCCTAAAAATCCTCTGTGCTCTGCCTGTTCTCTCCCTTCCCTGCAAGTCCTTGGTAAGAATTGAACCATAGTTCACTTTAGTGTTGCCGTAGTTTTGCCTTTACTATAAGAGATTGTTATATAGTTGGAATCACACAGTATGTAGCCTTTTCAGACGGGTTTCCTTCACTTACTAATACGCAGACGGTTTCTCCGTGTCTTCTCATGGCTTGAAAGCTCATTTCTTCTTACCACCAAATAGTAATATAATAATATTCCCTTGCATTGATGTACCACAGTTTATTCATCTAGTGAAGGATATCTTGGTTGCTTCCAATTTTGGCAATAATGAATAAAGGTGCTATAAATGTCCATGTGTAAGTTTTGTGTGGACATATGTTTTCAACTCATCTGGCAAATATCAAGGAGCAAAACTGCTGGATCACATGGTAAGCATATTTTAGTTTTGTAAGAAGCCACCAAACTCTCTTCCAGAGTGTCTGTAACATTTTGCATTCATACCAGCAATAACTAATAGTTCCCATTGCTTCAAATCCTTGCCAACATTTGGTTTTATCAATGTCTTAGATGTTCTTATTGTAAAGGTGTGTGTCATTGTTGTCTTCGTTTGCAGATCCCTAATTATGTGTAATGTTGAACAGTTTTCATGCTTATTTGACATCTGTTTATCTTCTTGGGTGGGGTGTCTGTTCAAATCTTTTGCCCATGTTTCTATTAAGGGTGTCCAGTTTTTTATTGTTGAGCTTTAAGAGTTCTTTGAGTATTTTGGATGACAGTGTTGTATTCTTATAAAGATATATTCTTGTATCTTTTGGAAATATTATTCCTCTTTTAGATGGACTTCTCCTTCCCTTGATAGTGTCTTTTACAGAGTAAAACTTTGTTGTTTAAACAAAGTTCAGATAATTGATTGTTTCTTTCACGGATTGTGCACTTGTTGTTGTATTTGAAAAACCATTGCCAAAGTCTTCTATATTTTCTCCTATATTATCTTCTCAGAATTTTATAGTTTTGTGTTTCACATTTAGTTCTATAAACAATTTGGAGTTAACTTTTGTAAATAGTGTAAGATCTACATCTAGATTCTTATTTTTGCAAAAACATCTTAAGACAAGTGGGACTTAATTAAACTAAAAAGCTTCTGCACAGCAAAGAAATAAATAACAGAGTAAACAGACAACCTACAGAATAGGATAAAATATTTGCAAACTATGTATTCAGAAAAGAGCTAATATCCAGAATTTATAAGGAACTCAAAGAAGTCAATAAGACAAAACAAATAACCCCATTAAAAACTGGGCAAAGTTCCAATTGTCACAGGCTATTGTTGCATTTGTTTTAGAGGTCTTAGTTATGAATTATTTGCCTAGGCCAATGTCAGAATTTTTCCTAGGTTTTCTTCTATGAATTTTATGGTTTTAGGTCTCACATTTGTCTTTTATCCATCTTATGTTAATTTTGATATGCAGTGAGAATTAGGGGCCCAATTTCATTCTGTTTATGGCAAGCTAATTTTCCCAGCACCATTTATTGAATAGGATGTCCTTTCCACAGTGTATATCTTTGTCAGCTTTGCCAAAGATCTGTTGGCCATAGGTATGTGGCTTTATTTATGGGTTTTCTATTCTGTTCTAATATAGGAGTAAGGATTTCACACTATTTTTGTAAGGTTTACAGTAGAGAGACTCTCTTTATTTTGGAATTTATTTTTCTTTAATTTTTAATTTCTGTGGGTACATAGCAGGTGTACTTATTTATGGAGTACAAGAGATGTGTTTATACAGGCATGTAATGTGTAAACCCCCCCCCCAAAAAAAAAAGAAAAAGATGGAAGGGAAGGGAAAGGAAAGGAAGTGGGAGAGGGGAATCTTGCTCTGTCTCCCAGGCTGGAATGCAGTGGCGAGATCTTGGCTCACTGCAACTTCTGCCTCCTGCGTTTAAGCAATCCTCTCCCACTTCCTTTCCTTTCCCTTCCCTTCCCTCTTTTTCTTTCTTTTTTTTTTTTTTTTTGTGTGTGTGTGTGTGTAAAAATCACATCACGAAGAATAGTATATCCCTCTCCTCAAGCATTTATCCTTTGAGTTACAGTACAATTATACTCTTAGTTATTTTAAAATGTGCAACTCAATTATTAATGACTATAATCACCTTAGTTTTCTATCAAATAGTAGGTCTTTTTTATTTTAACTATTTTTTTGCATTCATTAAGCACCCCAAATACCCCCCACCCTCCCACTACCCTTCCCAGCCTCTTG